AGTTCTACATGTGTTGTGTCCCCAAACGGGTCGCGCGGTAGATGCGCTGGACCATCACCTGGGCCATATCGGATTCTTTGAAGAAGAAGAAGAAGGGCTCTTTGAATGCTGACGTTTCAAAGACCTTGAGTCGGCTCTCCATTGTCAAAGCGTAAAATGCACTTACTCGATCAGAAATTTCAAGTGGCATGTTGTGTTGGTCGGCCTCACGCTGATCGATTTTTCGCTCCTCTCGCTGTCTCGGCCTCTCGGGAGATGGTTGACGGGCGTTTTGCCTGTGTGCTTTGTGAGTCACCACTCCGTCGAGGAGAACTGATTGAACCCTCGTCAGGAGGTCGGTCTGGTGGTTATTGTTCTTCCTCACCGAGTAAACTCGCCGTCGGACTATTTCCGTATGGCCTTCTTAAGTCCGATGTGGTCCTTTGGTCCTGAGCTCTACGATTGTGATGACGTAGGACTTTGTAAGCTGCAGGAAGGTCCAGATGCTTGTTGATAGAGTGGGCCTTGGAGAACCACGTCTCGAGAGTTATCCGTTCTGCTTTTGCGTCGCTCCGGCGGTTGGTGGAGGTCATGTCGCCAAACATGTGACAGAGATGAGAAGACACCATGAGTACAGCATACGAGGCTCGTTGGGCGAGAGACGCGAGCTGGGCTTGAGATGGCAGAGTTCTTTGCCAGAAAGTGCAGGTGCTCTAAAAGTAGGCACATCTTTTTGCAGCCCACCAGTGCAGTAATATAAACTGTTCTGTTTTGCGTTTTGTCGCTTGGGGACTCGGGGGGTGTCCTGTGGTGGTCGACGTCTAGCGTTGAAAATTTCACCCTTGTGACGTTTACTTAAATTTATCCATGCTTGTTTAAACGGAAGCGCCCGTACTTGAGTGAGTTTACAGCGGTAGAATAGAAGGGAGCATAGTCCGCAGTCATTTCCTACGCCGGTCTTGATTTAACCTCTGTTCAACTAACTGCGTAAAACATCCTTCGAAAGTAGTCCGTACGTGGTGCCCACTCCCCCCTTGATTTACGGAGAGTGAATGGACTCATTGTCGGCATAGGTAGCATAGTATACCATATTTGGGTAAGGATCGTGTGAAGGCCCCCAAGTATCTGTGGTAGACAAAGAATACCTACTATCAACAGAGGTGAAAATGCGATTCCCGGGTGGCATATCAAAAGAAGAAGAGGCGTTCACCGGGAGAGGTGTATTTGAGGTCCGACGAACACGCTGCAAATGCTCAGCTACAACAGCAACCACCCACTGCAACACAAACGAAGCTGTGTACGCACACTATACCGACGGGTGGAAACTCATTGCAGCACTCCAGTCGCCAAACTGGACGAGATGAAGCTCCTGCAAGAACTCTTCAGAGCCAACGGCTATCCGCGAACATTCGTTGAACGGAGCCGAAAGCAACCAAGGAAGCGGAATGAAGAACCTATTCAGCCAAAATCGTGGCGGAGCATTCCATACATGAAAGGGGTATCCGAAGCCGTAGCCAGATCCCTCGCGCCGCTCGGAATAGGCGTTGCCCACAGGCCCGACTCAACAATCCGCCGGCAAGTGATGCGGCCAAAAGACCCGATCCCTAAACAGGATATGTCGGCTGTTGTCTACCGACTTCAGAGCAGCTGCGGAATGTGTAACTACGTTGGGGAAACCGGCCGACGGCTGCAAACGCGCATGCACGAGCATAAGTTGGCCGTGCGAAGGTTGGACCCAAAGTCGGAGGTAGCAACCCATGCCGCCCAAATGGGATACGTCTTCAACTTTGACGCCGTTGAAGTTGTGGGCCGAGGAGACGATCATACGGCAAGACAGGTGCAAGAAGCCTGGATGTCTACCGACTGCTCTGTCACCCGCCACATCAATTTACCTCCCCTTATCTGGTTTTACGGACATTCTTGACGGGGGACAGTCACGGCGCGGGACAATCGGGGCCGCCAATTATCACCGCGGCCGACGAAGATGGGCGGAATTCAGGTCACGGTGACATGCGGGTCGGATGCAGCCACGCAGGCGGCATTGATGGGCCAGGCTTTGAACAAAGTGCGTCATAAAAGGATAGCTGTGTGCACGACTGCTCAGTCTCTGAAGATGGGTAGAAGAAACGACTACCCGAAACGTCAGACCTCAAATACACCTCTCCCGGTGAACGCCTCCTCTTCTTTTGAAATACCTACTATGCTTATTTAAGTGGGTTTTAGTGCGACACGATTATTTCGGTTTGGTGTTTCATCGTACAAGGTTGGGTCGCCTGTTGTAGACGATCTGGTGCATTATCTACAACACGAATGCGTGCACAGACACGTGTTTCGCTGATATGCCGCAACTTCATGGCACAGCTGCGTGGGGTTCGGCTCATCCGTGGATCCCTCCAAGCGTTCACCGGGGGCTTTTCTGGTAGGTACTCCAGTTTTGAAATTGCGACTTTTTAACACCCTCAGAAATTAATCGCTAACTTGGAGTGGACCAGTCTATTTGAGAATTATGGATTTCGACTAAAATTCTATACGAGATATATTTAAGGGGAGATTACAGATCCACAATTTCAAAACTGGAGTATCGACCAGAAAAGCACACGGAGAACACGGGTGGGTGAGTCGATCCCCTCGCAGGTGCGTCTGGGCTTTTACCCAGCACCTGCGCTGTCAAGTATGGTATATCGTGTTACATATGCATATACTACTGACTGCCTGTTAGTAGTTCATAAATATTGCGCTACTATTCCGCTGTTGCTGATGGACTTTGGTCCAAATATTCATGTCCAATTTCAGTTTAGACCCATAAGTCAAGTATGGCATATCGTACATCAGTATATACCGTTGGCTTCCTCTTGGCAACTTAATGAATGTTACGCGATTATCCAGTCGTGGGTGATGGACTTTGGTTCAGTTATTCAAATCGAATTCCGATCTCGGCCCGTAGACCTTAGTTTAAACTGATTTACTTCGAGTTAGCACATTAACTTCTGCGGGAATAGGAACAAATTCGCATCGTTTTTATAAGAGGAATTAATATGTATTTAGAAGCAGCTGTTCGTTCTTATTTCAGCCAAAGTACTGTTCACTAGCAGGTGTGATCATTTCTCATTTTTGGATAACACATAAATTCCGCGGTAGGGAAACAACGGTTCCTTTGAATTAATCCGCCAATCAAACTAATTTTTGCCTAATTCTAGGGAACTTCAGCACTGACCAACAAGGCCATGTCGCATCGGCTCTGCCGATGCAACAAATGATAATCTAGTGAACACCGTGTTTGGAGTAGAACTCCCAAACCCCGGGCTTGCGAGATCTCCATCTCTCATTGTGCAACAGGGGGTCTAAGGTCGTCTGTTGTAAAATAACCTTGCCATGTCTTTCATCATATTCTGACCTTTTTTGTCATCAGAGCTAAACTCACAAAGGTTGATTCTTGTGAGTTAGCCCAGTATACCACACTTGATAGCATAGGAACTAGGTGAAAGCCCAGACGGTGCCGGTGTCTTTAACTTAGGTCTTAACCTAACCCTAACCTTAGACCTAACCCTAATTTCACATGAAGTTGTCTCAAAACCACTCGTATTGCAGGCGGTTCCACTTCTCATGTTCTGTTTAGGGGGTCATCCAAGTCAATCCTACTTTAGGAAGAAGAACTATCGGTAAAGTTGAGAGAGACTGAAATGACTACTTCGATTTTTCTAGCTACCGTCAATCAACCATACCCCAAACCCAGGTCTAAATGACCAAAGTTTCGTACCCAGCTGAGTTACTATTACCGATCATGTGACTCCATGGTACAGAGTTCCAGTCGATTTTTGGAGGAAGAAAATCTTTAGTCCAGACCTGGGGTTAAGGTATATCTGGTTAACGACGGTTGACATGGCCTGTGTTACCTATGCATATACTACTGGCTGCCTCTTGGAAGTTCATGAATATTGCGCTACTATTCCGCTGTTGTTGATGGACTTTGGTACAAATATTCATGTCAAATTTCAGTTTAGACGCATAAGTCTCAGATAGACTGATATACTCCAAGTTTGCGGTTTATTTCTGAGGAAATCAAATAGTCGCAATACTACTGTCTGTAGTGTTTAAAAATCACAGGCGCAGATTGTTCCACTGTGGATCAGCATTAGGTACCGTCGCTTCCGTTTGAACGAGTATAAACAAATTTAAGTAAACGTCCTAAGGATATTCGTAGGGTATAAAAATTTTCAACACTGAACGTGGACTACCATAGGACACTCTCCGTTTTGATAAGGAGTAGAAGCGACCGCTGGAACAAGGGCTTTATTCGCCTGGCGTTTCGGATTCTCGCTCGAATTCATCATCAGAGACAGTGACAGAAATAGGTGACTTGTGCACAGGAAGTTGCAGTATCTGTTGGATGCAGTCGCTGTGCTGCTGCATGCCTATGGTAGTTAACCGCTCTCCCCTTCATCGTGAGTTGTTGTCCGCTGATGCCCTAATTGCTTGCTGGCCGCCAGGCAAGTTGTTAATTGCTGAAATCTCATCATCCGTGTTGGATGCTGGCGTGATAATTACTCGGCCATCTGGCTCACCGGCCTGCGTGCTCCCCGAGTGGTTAATTAATTTGACCAAACTACGCCTCAGGACGGAATGTGGGGCGTTGCACTTGTTGATAAACTGGAGTCCTGTGAACCATGTCTCCCTCCGTTTTCTCAGGCGACAAAACGCATTAGTAGGCTGCAGAAAGATGTGCCTACTTTTATTGCCGACAAAGAGCCCTGCTATGCCAAGACCAGCGTGTGCTTTTCACTCAACGTACGTTTTACGCCGTGTTTCTGGCACACGTTTGGCGACGTGACCTCCACCAACGACTTCTTACGGGACTGGAGCCCACACGACACCCTTTGACCCCACGTGCAGCAATTAGGCGTGATTCACATGTCGCCAGCTGCACCCACCTACCCACCTCCCCCCAGACATGCTGCATGTGCTCTGGGTCAAGGTCATCAAGGCGGGTTTTCAGTCCAGAGTCCGTCTCCTCTGTTCACAATATGAACTGGGTTCAGGCTCGTCGTTTGGGCCTCCTCTCCGGTTTTGCTGTTGGAATTCTTCTTCTTCTGCGAGGGTTCACACTCCAAAATGGCTTCGTGGGAGGTGGACGGCAGTCCACGGAGCCTGGCAAGACGCAGTCCGGCACTGTTCTGCCACACACAGACACGTCAGCCGAGAGGATCATCTGTTCCTCCACGCCGCCCTACAACATGGCGTTTTGTTTGGCCGACAATGACACCCTCCAGACGCCGCCGCTGGCCGAATTGCCCTGCCGATGGGAAGAGGACTTGGTGGCCAATGGGGCACACCGGTGTCTCTCCTTCGCCAGCCTTGCTCACGATCAGTCCGGGCTGAAATCGAGGACCGCGTTTCAGCTATATCCACAGGACTTGCCAGCACAGGAGGTGGTGAGGCGAGCTAGACGTGGACTGCCGATTGGAGTAGTAAGTTGCCCCGTCGGGGAACAGAGTTCTGTCATATCTTTTTTTCTTGTTGAACAGAAAGAGCTATTCTCGTTTATACTGCTACTAGTTTGCAGGCCGAACGCTTGTGATGGCTGCAGTCAGCGGCCTTGGTGCACGTAATGGTCTATCTGTCAAGGTAATCTATTATGTCAAAATTTCGGCTGTGAGGAATGTAGCAGTACTTTAAGGAGTCTTTCGGGTGCCACTGGCTGCCACTGAGTTCTCATCCGAGGCCCAAAATAGTCGCCCATGCCGGAAACAAAACAGGTCGAGAAGTGACTGAAGCATAGGCCTCGGATGAGAACTCAGTCAATCGATCTGGCGCCGGCATACGGAGCCCTGCGCAGTCACCTCCAGTCTTGTGCCGTCGGTCGATGATTGGCTTACATGCCCTAAAACTGCCGCTTGTTCTGTTGCTGCTACTATCTCTGACGATGAACTCCTGCGCCAATTCGAAAGCTCAGGACAATACACAAAGTGTTCCGGTGCTCGATCCCTTTTCTTCTTCATCATCATCTTCTTCTTCTTCTTCTTCTTCATCTTCTTCTTCACGTCATGGCAAATGTTTGACTGTGAGGAACGCGGCAGTAATTTGGGGAGTCACGTTGGTCTTTAGGTTACATGTCAGTACTAGGCGCTACACTTACAGTAGATGTGCTAACTCATGAAATGTCAACCAATATTTCGAAATACGTCCTCGTTTCGAAAAGATAAATTAAGTAGTGTTGTGAAACCAGTCATGATGCAGCATAAATCTATAATGCTCCCGTTACCTCAGGGTGTCGGCTTTCGAAAGAACTTATTGTCGGCTGCATGCAAGATCTATACTCTGCAAAAAATGACTTCGTAAGTAGTATGCAATTTTCTCATTGATTTTCGATGTCCTTGAAAATGCAATTATTTTTTATAAAAACATGCATACAAATATTCATTCTTTTACTTATTCGGTAGAAAATCACGTCTTCTTCCAATTTCATACTCAAAAGAAGAGTATAATTCGGTTTCAAAAAACTTTTTTAATTCTCGAATAATTTTGAACCCGACCTGCTGTTACACTTGCATTCAGGGTTTCAAAACTACAAGCTATATATTTTCCGTGTACGGAAAACCATGCATTTATCTACGGTGTTAAGAGGAGACCATATGAGGTTCATAAAAGTAAGCAGTGGATTCTAGCAATATAGTTAACTTTGCAAGCCATATTCGTAAATGCAGATACCTGACGTTTCGTGAACGGCCATTTAACGGTACAAAAAAATCTCACAATTAGAAACTTTTTTTAAAACCAAATAATACTCTTCTTTTGAGTATGAAATTGAAAGAAGACGGGATTTTCTACCGAATAAGTAAAAGAATGAATATTTTTATGCACCTTTTCCATGAAATATAATCGAATTTTAAAGGGCATCGAAAAGCAATGAGGAAATTGCATGCTACTTAAGTAGTCATGTTTTGCAGAGTAAAGATCTTGCATGCAGCCGAAAATAAGTTATTTCGAAAGCCGACACGCTGAGGTAACTGGATCATTATAGATTTATGCTGCATGATGATTAGTTTTACAACACTACTTAATTAGTCTTTTCGAAACGAGAACGTTTTTCGAAATATTGGTTGACATTTCATGAGTTAGCACATCTACTGTAGGTTTTACGCTGCGTGTGTGTATGTTGTGTCCTCATACGGGACACGCAGTAGAGGCGATGGACCAAACACGGGGGTTAGATCGGAGTCCAGCAGGAGTTATCGGGAATGTGTAACGAGGCACCGGACTAATTCACCTTTGATAATCTAGTTCAGTTTTGTTCTTACCGAATTCCTTGTTTGGTTAGATGGTAGTTGGTAGCCCTCCCGTTACCGAAAACTCCCAACTACCTGTCTTACGGAACCGGTGGTAATAGGGGCTATACGGGTTGGGCAAATGAGTGGAGGCGTAAATGGCGCTTGTAGAGTATGCCTGGAATTGACGCTCCTGGTAAAGTGGAAGCCTAATTTAAATAAGGTGAAAAATGAAGGGAGGGTATAGAAATAAGCATGGATAATTAGTACGGTATGCGGAATAAATGCATCCTTGCCCCAGATTGGAAAGAATAGCAAGTGAAGGCGAACAACTAATAGGAAGAAGGCAGTGTGTCTTAAGGTCATTTCGCAGTATGTGCGATAGTACTCTAACAGACAGAATAGACATGAGAACACGAGAGTCAAGCAGCGGCACGCAGGACGGCATAACGCAAGCGGGGTAAGACTTTACTGCGAAAAATATGTTTGGGCGAAAGAGAAAATCTGCAAATAATAGTGTAGTGTCACTGTGGCCACATATAGGATTAAATCTATTGCAGTAGTTGTCTGCTATACGTGAATGGTGTGCTATACAATGTAAAGAGGAATTAGCACTCTGTATATGAAGTTACACTTTGTTCTGCTTGCAGAGTCCAGTCTCTTAGAAGGCGAAGGAAAGCAGGACCGCAATTGGATAGGCCGACAGATTATTCGCGGATCCTGGAAATAATCCAGTCGTCCTACCTAGTGCAGTATCTCCAACAGAAAGGACTACTGACCTGTAGGGTCTTATGTAGATGCCGAAAAGTCATGCCCTTACAAATACTGCGGCAGCACACGGATGGTTATGCCTTCAGGTAACATCTGGGTACTGTGGTATGCAGCCTAGGATAGTACCCCTAAAATGAATCAGATACAGGTAACACAGTGCGCGCATGCAATTACAAGCATCATGAGAAGCATGATGAATCATAATCCGCTTAGGATAAATCTTTCGTCCTTTACTAAAGATTTCCGTGTGGGGGTGCAATACAATGAGTCTATATAGACATTTTTGCAGCGCCTCGTCCTCGGGGCGGTTAGAGTGAAGAAGAAAGTCATCCTGACAGGGCTTCTGCGCGAACACTCTCAGACGTAATGAGAACGTAATCACAGAACTTGAAATCGAGCCAGTAAGTGCAATTGTAGAATCAGTGGGCAGGGCTACCAACTACCATCCTACCGTCATTTTACGTTATCAATATCAGGATTATTCACTAACCGGTTTTGCTTACCGCTCTTGATACTTAGAGCACGTGAGATATCATCCGTTAGTCCGTGAGAACATTCTCATTTACGTCATTGACGACTCCCGTCGTCAGCGTAGACGTTGTACTTTTCTATATCATACTGAATAACATTTAACGTACTATTTGTTTTTGAATTTATATTCTATTTACGTCTACTTTTCTCACGAATTTTCTCGATATTGTGCCATTTCTGTCTTGCTTACTATGTCTCATTCCAACCAACAACTTGATGCCTCCGCCCAGTTCCTTCATTCCGTGAATTTTGCCTTGCCCGAATTCTGGCAGCATGTTCCGGAACTGTACTTCATCCGCATCGAACCAGCCTTTTATTCTGCTAATGTTACCAAGGAGCTGGCGAAACACCAAAACTTGTGGAGGTTCTCCCCCCTAGTGTTATCCTCCAAGTTCAGTCCTTGTTGTCTCATCCCCCTGTAGATGCTCCCTATTCCACGTTTAAGGCAGAAATCCTTCGACTTAATGCTGTGTCTGACCGATAACGGTTTCACCAGTTGATTAAGGCGGAATCACTGAGTGACCAGAGGCCCTCAGAACTTCTATGTCGAATGTGTTCTCTCCTTGGAGACATGCAGATTGACGCGAAACTCGTCAAGGAGATGTCTCCAGAGCGACTGCCTGCAGATTTTCGGACGATTTTGGCGTCTGGTTCTCAAGATCTCACGGTTTCACGGCTGGCTGAAATGGCGGATCGAATGATAGAGGTACAGCGGTTCCAGCCGCCTTCCGTTGCCCAGACCTCCACATCCTCGTCGACAGTGAATGAGCAGTTAGTGAAGCAGATGTCAGCCATGGCGGATGAGATGGCTCCCCCTAAGCTACAGCTTGTCCGCCAAACTTCCAGTCGCTCCCCAGTCGTCGTCGTCGTTCTCGCTCGCGACTTCGGACTGACGGCATTTGTTGGTATCAGACCAGTTTCGGTGCAAAGGTCCGTCGCTGTTCCTCGTTCTGCTCTTTTAAGTCGAAACAGAAAAACCAGTCAGCCAGAGAATAGACGCAACCGTTTTCTAGGGCTCTTCTGGGTCTGGTCGCACCTTCTATGTTTGGGACAGTGTGACTCGCAGACGTTTCTTTGTGGACACTTGAGCACAAAACCGACTGTCGTTTCCTCAGCTCTGGTCTTCATCTCCAAGCTGCTAACTGTTCCCCCATTCCCACTTTTGGCAGTCTGTTCCTCACCCTAGACACTGGCATTCGTCGGTCTTTCTCTTGGATCTTTGTGATTGCCGATCTCCCTCATGCTCAGACTTTCTAGCCGATTTCGATCTCTTTGTTAACCGCCGACGATTCCGACTCCTCAACCGTGCAACTGGTCTCTCTGTGCATGGTTTATCTCCCTTCACTGTCCCCTGAAATTTATCTGTCTTGGATCCAGCTATTGATAGCCCCAGTTTCGCAGTGGTGAGGTTCAACATGATGTTGGGCCCCATATCCGCATCTCAGGTCCTCCTGTGTTTGCTCGATCGAGACATCTAGCCCCGAAGCATTTTCAGGCCGCGAAGGCGGAGTTTGAACACATGCTGCAACTTGGGATCATTCGGCCGACCGAAAGCCCCTGGGTGTCCCCCCTCCCCTTTACATGGTGTCCAAAGCGACATCAGGCGGCTGGAGACCCTGTGGCGATCATCGTGTCCTCAACAACGCTACCATTCCCGATCAGTATCCAGTACCTCATCTTCAGGATTTTGCTGGAACCCTTTTCGGCAAAGCGGTTTTCTCGAAGATTGACGTGGTGTGTGTCTTTCATCAGATTACGGTCGCGCCTGAGGACATCCCTAAAACTGCCGTCACCACATCTTTTGGCCTCTTCGAATTCACCCGCATGCCTTTCGATCTTTGTAATGCCGCCAAACGTTCCAGAGGTTCACTCACCATGTCTTACTTGGCCTACCGTTTGTGTACGCTCATACCGATGACCTCTCGGGGGTCAGCCATAATGCCGAAGGACACAGAGAGCCTTGGTATTAAACCGCCTCGACAAGTATGGCATCATCATCATCATCATCATCATCATCATCATCATCATCATCATCATCATCATCATCATCATCATCATCATCATCATCATCATCATCATCATCATCATCATCATCATCATCATCATCATCATCATCATCACCACCGCCAACACCACCACCACCACCACCACCACCACCACCACCACCACCACCACCACCACCACCACCACCACCACCACCACCACCATCGTCGTCGTCGTCATCATCATCATCATCATCAAATCCTCAAGGTGTGTCTTTGGCGTATCTTTCCTTGAATTCCTTGGCCATCATGTTGAATCAGAAGGTTTGCGTCCCCTCCCCTCCAAGGTTGAAGCAATTCGGGATTTCCCTCCACCGACTTCCAAGCGTCAGTTGCGGCGATTCCTCGGCATGGTCAATTTTTACCGTCGGTTCATGCCGAACTATGTCGACCTTATGCTGGTGATGCAATGGCAGCTTTCGAGAGAATCAAGGCCTCCCTTGCTGACGCTATCTTGTTCACGCATCCCGTTCCCAGAATCACTTGCACTTGATGTTAGACATTTCGACCGTACCCGTGGATGCATTCCTTCAACAACACCTTGCTGGTTCGACTCGACAACTGGCCTTTTTCTCCAAAAAGTTCTTGTCGAGTGAGATCAGCCACAGTACCTTTTACCGTGAACTACTTGCCACTTACCTGGCTGAGAAGCATTTCCGGCATTTCCATGAAGGTCGGGGCGTCACCATTTCCACGGACCACAGTCCGCTGACTTTTGTTCTTCGTTCCCACTCCGAAAAGTAAAATCCGAGAGAGACCGTCCACCTAGGCTACATTTCCCAGTTCACCACCGACATCCGCCCACGGATGGCACGAAGAATGAGGTGGCTGACATGCTGTCCAAGCCCTCACTATCGTTCCTCCATCTCTCACACGGGATTGACTATGGCGTCATGGCGGCCGAGCAACAACGAGTCGATCGTCCTGGCGACGAGTCCACGAGTATTCTCCAACTCAAAGACGTTCCTCTGACCACCGGCTTTGGTACCATACTTTGTGACGTCTCGGCTCCGTTTTATCACCCTTTTGTGCCCTCCTCGATGCGTCGAGCTGTTTTTCAAACTCTGCATGGACTCTCCAACCCTGGAATCTGAACCTCACAAAAACCCCTGAACGAAAAGTTCGTCTGGCCTGGCATGTACAAGAACGTCAGAGCTTGGGCTCCGTCGTGTCGGAGTCGCCGGCACAACAAGGTGCAACATCACAACAAGTTAACACCAAACACTTTCCCCAGCCCCCCACCCACGGTTTAGCCATGTGCACCTGGATGTCGTAGGCCCCTTTGCCTCCATCCAAAGGCTATACTCACCTTCTAACCTGTGTCGATCGGTATACCTGCTGGGCTGAGACCATTCCCTTGCAGAATGTGCAGGCTGAAACCATCGTGAAGGCTTTCGTCAGTGGTTGGATCGCCATGTTTGGTGTCCTCTCCACGGTTACGACTGATCGTGCTGCCCAATTTGAGTCTGCACTCTTCCAAACGCTCCTCAATTTTCTTGGCTGCAAACGCATTCGGACGACAGCCTACCATCCAGCTGCCATCGGGATGGTTGAGTGTTTCCATCGCCAGCTAAAGACTGCCCTTCGTGTCGTAGAAGACCCAGAAAACTTGCGAGACAACCTTCCTCTTGCACTCCTCGGCATCCACGCAGCTCTAAAGTCGGATCTGGACTGTAGAACAGCTGAATTGGTTTTCGGCACTACCCTCCAACTGCCAGGTGAGATAGTCACCCCGACCTCTCGTGGGGCCGATGAGACTCCTGCCAATTTTGTGCACTGTCTGCGGCAATTTAGGTACTTGCATCCTCCGGTTACACCTCGAACTCCAACGCCTGAATCTTATGTCGGAACTGGTTTGGACAACTGCACTCATGTGTTCGTCCGGTGTGACCGTGTGCGCCAGCCGCTGGAATCACCATACGAAGGACCTTTCCGCGTGCTCGCACGCACGTCAAGGCTGCTGTTGCAGAGGAGCCGCCGGACCTGTCACGAGGACAAAAGTGTGCTGACCCCCTAACTCCTGTTCCTCCATCTTCACTATCTCCGGCTCATTCACCTTGCCCACTCCCTCCCCCTTCCCCCTTGCCCTCTACCCCTCCGTCCCGCATATCTCCCCTCCCTGTATGTCTACAGCATCCAACTGCAACACCATCCTCCAACATAGCAGGCCGTCAACTTTCTGGGACTCTACCTCCTGCGTACATCACTCACAGTGGCCGTCACGTTCATTTCCCCGATCGTTTATTTACGCGTTTTTTCTAGGCTTATGCATACCCTTCGGCGTCGTTTT